ACATTAATATGTGCTGGTGAAAAATAATTAAAGGAGTATACAGAGGAATATTTTATTTTTTAATTTTAGAATAGAGGGAAAAATTTAACTTAACTTCCTAGTTCTACTTCTTCCCCCCAAATAAATTCTAGATCGTTATTTAATGGCATCCTTGGTTGTCTTTAAATTCACTTTTCAAATTTAACAAGCCAACTTTTAAAGTTATTATGAGTATGTAAAGTTTATAAGAACACTATGGCATATCTTTAAGTAAACTTGTATTGAAAATAATTCAAATATAGTTTATATATTTTATAAGTTCGTTCTTTATGACTTGTTTAAATGAAGGTAATACAGTAGTACCAAATGTTAAACCAGTTGTAATTGGCTGGTACTGGGTTTTTTGTTTTTATGGAGTGTTTTTCTTTTTGATCCAAAGCTGAGTTTATTGAGATGTGATTATATACAGTGCAATTTGCCCTTTTTAGTATGTAATTCTGTGAGTTTTGGCAAACATACTTTTATGTAACTAACTAGCTGGTCCTATTTAAAAACATGTTGAAAATGTTTAAGAGCCTTGATGGCTCAACTTTGTCTTTTTATCTTTTAGACTCTAAAGGAGAACCTCTTCATATTATTAACTCTTCTAATGTGACTGAGGAACCTCTTCTGAAAATGTTATTGACCAAGGTACCTAGTTCAATTTGTAGGATTCTTTAATGATCGACTATATGAAATTATATGAGTTTCCCTCATATTTATTATAATATTTTGATTTCCTCTCCTAAACATTTTTATTCTGAGCTCTTGGTTATAGTAAATTATGCATGCATTTGAAAATTGTGGATATTTTTATTAACCTCTGAGTACTCTATATTGTTGAATATATTGGGTTGATACAAAATTCTATTGTAATTGGAAGGAAAGTGTGTTATAATCTAGATACATTAGCACTTTTCCTACTTTTTAGATTAGTATACCTATTACAGATATACCAGAATTTATTCCATATTAGGATAAGGAATTTGAATTTTTACTTACATAGCATGTGAGAAATGCTTGTGTAGTCAGTTCTTTTTGGCACATCCTTTTTGCCTGTAGGAAATATATTTATACTGTTTTAATAACATACATTAAAAAAGAATATGTGCATTTTCAGTGTGTGAATTTTTATTGCTTATAACCCAGTGGCTTAATTTTCTACAATTTATAGGCAGACAGTGATGGACCACAGTTTAAAACTATTCATGACAATACCAAACAGAGACTGAAGGTAAATGTCTTATAATGTATTGTAAGTCTGGTTGTGTTGATTAAATCTAGCTCCATAGCCATTTTCAGTTGTGCAGTTCTAAAATTAGAATGAGAGTGGGAATAATAATAGACCTAACATCTAATTTGTAGATAAAATACATGGATATGGAATTGAAATAAAGTTCTTAGAAAAAGTTGATTTGATTTGATTTTCTAAAAGAGATGGGTTTCCTATATGGGTTAATGATTGCTTGACAAGTATAAAAATAATATACTGACAGGGAATTTTGTTCACTTTAGTCCATTCTCATTATTTGACCTAGTGTTGATGGACGCATTAAAGATTTGAATTACATATTGGCATTAGGATTAGAAAAAGATTAAGGACCAAGATGAAGCAGGGCCTAGTGTAGATGTTGCCCACAGTTCATATGAGCACATCATGATCAGTCTTAGAACCATCTGAAATGTGGCTTAAGGCCTGCTAATACTTCCTATATCTTTACTTAAAATTTACTATGTTCTATGGAGGTTAAGTTGTGGTCACAGAAGTGGGTATAGCATTGGTTAATTGTCTGGTAGGAATTAACATCATAATAGTGACTTCTTTCTTAAAAAAGTAAAATTTTTTAAAAAGGGCCTTAATTGAACAATTCTTACGCTACTTGTATCTGTTGAAGTGTAACATAAAAATGTTATTATAGCTAAAAACAATGCTCCTGTAGCTGAAATCTGCCTCTCTGATTATTTATTGTCTTAGGTTTCATTTTCATCTTTAGACTTAGTACTTCATTTGGAAGCTTTACTTTCCTTCATGGATTTTTTATCGTCTGCTCTTCCATCTTCTGGACCATCCTCTTCTGAAAAGGAATCTGAGCTGAAACACCTCATGGGGGAATCCAGAAGTATTGTTGGCAAAGCTGGTATTAGTTTTTGAGTCATGTCTCATATTTTCTATCTGAATTTTAATAGTCACATAATAGCCTGTTTTTTCAAGCTAAGATATAGCCTCTATATTAATTGTGTATTTATATTTGATTTCACCATCTAGTTTATACACAAAATAGAAGTCATATATACCTTGGGCTGAAGTTTCTTTGTCGTCTTCAGTACAGTGAAACTTATAAAGAAGTTCAGTTGTGGGAATAGTGCTCAACAATTTTAGGTGCTTTGTGAGACACGGAAGGGAGGGAAACTCATGGAAGAGACAGATGGGCTTTCTTTTCTGAACAAAACTGTTATTTAGGTCACACACAGATATGGGCACATGTTCCTCATTAAAGAATGAGTAAGGAAAGAATATGTGCCTGTTTTCATGTCAAGTATCATTTTAATTATTTTTCTTTCGCAATATATGATATAAATATTTAACTTTGAGTAATTTAATATCTAGTTATGTCTATATTACTGGCATCTTCAGTGCAAAACTGGCAGTACTATTAGCCCTGTTTTTTATTTTTTATTTTGTTTTTGAGACAGAGTCTTACTTTGTCACTCTCAGTAGAGTGCAGTGCTGTCATAGCTCACAGCAACCTCAAACTCTTGGGCTCAAGTGATTCTCTTGCCTCAGCCTCCTGAGTAGCTGGGACTACAGGCACTTGCTGCCCCAGTTATGTGGCTGGGACTACAGGCACTTGCTGCCCCAGTTATTTTTTAGAGAGTAGGTCTCGCTCTGGTTCAGGCTGTCTGAAACTCATGAGCTCAGGCAGTCCACCCACCTCGGCCTCTCAGAGTGCTAGGGGATTACAGGCGTGAGCCACCACACCTGGCCAGTACTATTAGCTCTGATACAGGGATTTGATTTTTTTTTTTTTAACTGTGAAACAGAGCACTAATTTTGTTATATACTGAAATAAAAGAGTTTTACCTTCTCTGCCTTTAATGTACTTGTCATATTAATATTCTTAGAAACACCTCTTCTTTATATAATATATAATACATACACAACACATTTGATAAATGAAAAACCCATGTTTAAACTCACAATAAACTACAAATAATGCTTATCCAAAGAAGCAATCTTCCAGTTTTGCTGTATAGTTGGTCTTTGTGATTTGATTATGCTGCAATAAATATTAAGAGAAAAAGCCTGTTGCCATATTGGCAATTAGGACTGGTATTCTTTATGCTTCTGCAGTTTTATCAGACGGGTCTTCTCCTTCCGACAAGACAGTTTTCTAGGAAAATGTATCAGGACCTGGACTAAAGTATGCTTAGGGAATCCATTTTATTATGATTTTTATGTGCACACACACTATAAAAAATAATATATATATATTTTAAACTTCAGCCCATTATTTCATTTATCATAGTTTTATTTTAGGATTCTTCCTGGAGCAACAGGCTGTAATCTAGAGAAACTGGTTGTAGTTTATAACATGAACTTTAACTGCCATAGTAAATAGTATGTATTTTATTAACTATTCATCACTATTTTCTGTTTTAATGGATTTATCTTTAATATATGAAAAGGAATTCAGAATCAAATTTCAGAATAATAGATTTCTAGAATTCTAATATAGTTTTCTTTTTTCTCCAGAGTAAAAATTATAGTAAAATTTCCACGTAGCAAATTGTATGTTCAAGATACTATTAAAAGTAGTTGCCTTTATTGTTAATTTGAAGGGGAAAATGCTAGTTTTTGTCTGATTGGCATTGGAAAATGGATTCAAAATCCATATTAATTTCATGTTAATCGAGGCCTTTTTGGTTCCTCATAGTACATTGTTTGCTTTTATTTTAGTGGATTTGAGGTTATTGTGTGTGTTATATCATCCTTGCTCTTCACAAAGTTTCTATTACTTTTCAGTATCTAGCAGTGCCTCTCAGATGGACGTGTTTGATTTAAAGGTCACAGCTGAATTAAATGCGTTTAATGTCTTTGTCTGTGATCAGAAATGTAACATTGCAGATATTAAAATACATGGTAAGTTATTCCTTGTTGTAGGTATTTCTGTGTTTGTTTGTTTTTTTATATAGACACCCAGGAAAAATTAGCTTGTACATTATAGATTTCTCATGAGTCATGTTTTGGTTTATTATATCGAAGACCTATGCAAACTTTTCAAAGGTATACCTTAAAATGCTGCAAGTAAACTTATTATGATTCATTGCTGACTCAAGACATTCCTTATGTATTTAAGAAATTTCAGAATAAATCTACGTGTTAATCTCTTGTTGTTCTGGCTGCATTTCTACGAGAAATCTTGTAAGCTTTCCCCACTATTAGCTGGATATAAGAACAAGGTTCGGATTATGTCATAGGTCCTAAAGTCATCTTGCTGGAGTTTAAGTTCTAACAGTGGCTGACCTTGGTGCAAAATTAATTAACCTTTCTATACCTTAGTTTTCTCTAGTAAAATAGAGGTACTAATAATTATCCATGGGGTTATGTGAGGATTAAATAAAGTTTACACATTTGTTTATGTTTAGAAAAGTGCCTGGTATATAGTAAGCAGTTTTTAAATAGGCTAAAAAGTTACTGTGTATTTATTTTACTGGAGGTATAGTAGTGGTCTGGGCTCATTACTGGGTCTCAGCTTCGGGAGTTCTCTCTGTACTGTGGAGCAATTGTAGAAATCATTATCTTTTAGAAATTATGAGAATGATAGTTTTTTTTTTTTTTGGAGATAGAGTCTTACTATGTTACCTTTGGTAGAGTGCAGTGGCATCACAGCTCACAGCTACCTCAAACTCTTGGGCTTAAGCGATTCTTTTGCCTCAGCCTTCCAAGTATCTAGGAGTACAGGAACCTGCCACAGCGCCCGGCTATTTTTTGGTTGTAGTTGTCATTGTTGTTTGGCAGGCCCAGGCTGGATTCGAACCTGTCAGCTCTGGTATATGTGGCTGGCACCCTAGCTACTTGAACTATAGGTGCCGAGCCAGAATGACAATTTTTTTTGGAGAGAAATCTTAGATGGCTCTATTCTAGATACAGTTTATTGTAGAAATAAAAGTACTAATTTATCAAATGATACTCATTTGCTTTTAGTTATTGAAACAACAGTTTTAAAAATGTAATACACTTCTGTGTGGTAGCTGTTTAACAACTATGTGTTCCTAAAGATCCACTTCTGGTGTTGACAATGGACAGGATATTTGTGTTTGTAGAAATAGCATTAATTTTCTTTGAAATTTGTGTGTATGTTTTTAAATTTCTATAACTCTCACGTTGGAGATGCCTGTATCCCTTAAAGGTTTTATATTCTCTTTCTTGGTATCTTAATACATGGAGGTTGATATCATTAATATGTCTAGTAATGGGTAATTTTTATTTATCCTATATCTTGTCAGTATTTAACTTAAATATCATTGAGTTGGTTCACTAGGATTGGGTGAAAAGTTTGTAAATGTTCTGTTTCCCGTAGGATTGGATGCCTCAATTTCTGTGAAGCCGAAGCAGACTGATATGTTTGCCAGACTTAAGGATATCATAGTTACAAATGTAGATATGCTGTCCATTCACAAAAAGGTGATTAAAGATGCATTTCTGTGTTGAAATGGATTTTGTTGTTTAGATTTGAGGTGCCGTTATTATTCATTTGTTCAGAAGACATTTATTAGTTGTCTGTCACGTGTCAGACATCTAATGTTTATAGATTAGGCCTCTTGATAAGCAATGATTTATAAAAGTTATTTCTAAACAGTTACGTTATTGATATTTCCATTGATCAAATGATTTTTATAGAAATAGGAAAAGTTATTGTCAAGTAAAATGTTTTTAATAATTTTTAAGGTTGAATTTATGTTTTTTTAATATATCAGATTCTGTAATATGGGAACTTATTAATATTAATAATACATTGATAAGGCTGTACAGCTCTTTTGATATAATAACCAGTTAATCTAATACTTTCAGGCTGTCTCTATTTTGGGAGATGAAGTTTTTAGGTTCCAACTGACTCTTTATCCTGACGCCACGGAAGGAGAGGCCTATGCTGATATGTCTAAAGTAGATGGCAAACTTTGTTTCAAAGTGGGTTGTATTCAGATAGTTTATGTTCATAAATTCTTCATGTCTCTTTTGGTAAGTTTATTGTTTAAATGTATTTATTTCTCCTTGAGGTCTAAATATTTTTGCCTGTACAACTGCACCTAGGTAGTAAAAATCTTCCCTGATAGGGCTGTGTGATAAACAAAGGCTGAACAGAATACTATAGTGAAGGAAATCCTTTGTATGATGGATAACCAATCTAGTTTTGTGAGTTATTATTTTGAATATGTATACTATCATTCTCCAACATACCCATAGTTATGTATTCTGGAAATATTCTTTGATGTTTTAATTTAGGTTTTTCAGTTACTTGTTTGATGAAATACTCTTATTTGGAGTATTTAGCTAAAATAATTTTATCTACTTGAAGCCCACAGGCATTCAGAGGACTAACACTGGAATTTGCAGCTTTTGGTTATAATTATGATCAACAAGGCCATGAAATTCTTTTCTTTTATTATTTATTTCCATGTAAGTGTCATGGATTGAAGAGTTAAATCTGTCTATACCTCTATCAAGAATGCTAATTAAAACTTACAAGTGATGAATTTCTACTTAAATCATCATGTTCATTTTGCTAGGGAATAATTTATATGAAGCAGAGTGGGGGAGATTAAATTGCATTTGTATTTCTTTTTCTTACTGGGAAAAAGCTTTCATTTTTTAGTTGAAAGTGAGATGAAGTGCATCTAACTAGAAAAAAGAAAATTTTTGATTCTTATTACTGATTACAAGGTCATAGACAGCCATTTTTCCTCATGCCTGAGTACATTTTTAAAAAACCTTCAGAAATAAGCTGGCAGAACCTTAGTTTCTAAGAGTAAACTGTATTTCTGTGATCCAGCAGTATAGAATTGAACTTGCTTTTGGAGAAATACAGTACTCTCTCTCCTCCAGCCCTTCATTTAAATCTGAATTTAAAACGACCCAATTCATTAACAAAAATAATATTTAAATAAGAATTACTCATAAAAATTTACCATGAAAATAAAATAAATATATATAAAATGAAAGTAAAAGAACTTTTACTTCCTAAAAGTAAGTATTATCTCTAGGTAGATATTATAAATAGGTATAGTTAATAGCTATTATTATTAGCTATTGTTAGTAGCTCTTTTTAGCTATTGTTATCTAGCAATTGTTAATAGCTCAGAGTGTATATTTCTAGACTTTACTCTCCCTATAGATAATCTTTTATATTATGTCTTTTGTTTAGTTTTTCTTTTTTAAGTAAATTCTGTGTAAAGTTTCTACTTTTAAAAATAAATAACTTTTTGGAAGAACTCTCTAAATATTTATTTCTTCCAATAGAACTTCCTCAACAATTTCCAAACTACTAAAGAAGCTTTGAGTGCAGCCACAGTCCAGGCTGCAGAGAGAGCTGCTTCCAGCATGAAAGACTTGGCTCAAAAAAGTTTCCGCCTGCTGATGGATATCAATTTGAAAGCACCAGTTATTATTATTCCTCAGTCTTCAGTATCACCTAATGCTGTTATCGCAGATTTGGGTTTAATCAGAGTTGAAAACAAATTTAGCTTGGTTTCCTTGGAACGTTTTTCTCTTCCCCCAGTGGTTGATGAAATGAACATTCAGCTCACCCAGTTGAAGCTGTCCAGGTATAACATAATAAACTCATTGTATACTGCTTATTAGAAGTTAGGGTTTTCGTTTTCGCTTGAGGTGGATACTTTAATAATTTGTGGTTCTCATTCTTTATTTCTGCTAATTATGAAACCTTGACCACTGTTTCTTTGGTCAGTGGTTGATAGTAGTGTGCCTCACAGAATCTGTATTTTGTCTTAACTAAATTTATAATGTGATTGTTTTCCATTTTATAAAAATTATCTATTAACAAAATTATAATTTACTCATACATAATTTAAATTTACTTTTTTTCACTTTGTACATAGCTATTTCTATTTCTCTTTAGGAGAGAGAAAACTTCCTAAAATATAATAATACATTTTAAGATTTATTCCTAATTTTCATTTGTTACATTTGGGAATTCTCAATGTGATATCTAAAGAATTATCAAATCCAAATGGGAAAGTGTTGGCTTTATTAAATAAGGAGAATACTTTCTTGATTGTGGAAATGGTTGTTGGCAGGCAAGCTGGAAGGATTAGATTTGGTGAGTTTCCCCTCTTTGAGTTTGGAGAAGTACCAGTAACATATTAAGGGCTAAGTATACGATCACTTTATCTTCCAGTTTTAGAAGAATGTAATATTTGTATGACATTGTAGTAGTTGCTGTATCCCATAGTATTTTTGAAAAATAAAAAATAATGTAGTGGTCATACACTGAGGTCTTTGAGATCAGTGTAATGCGAGCTTTAGTTTAGATCTACATAAAAACGTGATTTCTGATTCAGATTAATTTGTGAGAAGTATGTTCTAGAAGAATTCTGGAGGCAGATTTTTGTGTTTATGAAAATGCTGTGTGAAAACTGTTACACAGTATGGCAGTCCTCATTTTAAAATGTAGATTTTAAATAAATAAATAAGTAAATGAATTCTATTTTTTTTTTCAGAACTATTTTGCAAGCTGATTTGCCACAACATGACATTGAAATTTTAAAACCAGTCAACATGCTTTTGTCCATACAGCGAAATTTATCAGCAACATGGTATGTGCAAATTCCAGGGATGGAGATAAAAGGAAAACTAAAACCTATGCAGGTAAATATCTAGGACAAAATATCTGACCGTTGTTTGATAGGCTTTGTTATGACCATAATGCAGGTCTGGTATATATCAGAAGAGGTGCCACGTTGAAAGAGAAAACTTTGTTAACTGAAAATGAGATCATCCTAATTTCCCACACTTTTCTTTATTTCATTTTAGTTAATTATTTGGTAATACCAGCAAGAAGTCTGAAATAAAACCTATTGGAGTCTACTGAACATATTATTAGTTTTGAAACATTATATTAAAGTTTTAATATAGTTTAATTGTGAGACAATGGAAAGTGGTGTTTAGATATCACATTCAAAGCACCTTAGGCTTTTAATGTGCAGAAACTTTCTTTAAGTAGAAAAGTGGACATAATTTTGAATAAGTAAATGTATTTATTTGTTCACCATATAAATGCAGCACTGTTTTTAACAGTATGGTTAGCTGGTGACATGTCAGCTCACAGAAGGTGAGACTGACTGAAGATAGAGAAGTGTAAGAATCCTCTGATTCTTATGTGTGTCTATGTGTGAAACTGTTGAAGGCCAACAGTAGGAGATGGACAAGGGAGGAGATATTAAACAAACTGAGCGTGTGAAGAACAAATAGAAATTCCCTTTAGTGATTTTTGGTATCTGTAACTATTGCAGAGTTGGTTCTGAGATAAAACAGGAAGGGTTAAGGGAGCAGAGTGCTGGTAGGGAAGAAGTTAAAATTGAAGTTTTAACTGAAGTTGTGGAAATGGAAGAGTTCTGTTCATTTGTACC